TAAGGTTAAAATCGCAACGGGCAAAACGAAAGCCGACTAGTCATCGCACAGCCCCAATCGGAAAGTAAACCTAGGTCTTGCCCTAAACCCAGCACACTGGTCGCTAACGTCTCAAGGCATGAATCGAGATCCTAAAGGCATGTCTCTTCGCCCACGTCTAAACACTCGCAAAAATCGAAATCTCCCGAGTTAACGAATCGGACGATTTACACCAAAGACTTAGATACGTGATGACAAATCGTATTCTTCCCTCTACATCTAACGCAGAACACGAATATTATACTTAGAAAATATTTTATTAAGAAAGTTTTCAATACACACCGCCCAGCGGTAGGGATTCAAAGCCACCAACGGCCAGTCCCGGAAAAACAACAACAAAATCAAAAAACTAAGAACATCACACATCCAAGTCATCAAACGCGGACTGATCGACTTCACCATCCACGTCCGAAATCCCAGGACCAACTTCGACCGAATCCGGCGACACCACGATGGGATTCCATTGATCCCACATGCGCGCCTTAAGGTCGAAAAATTCAGATTGCATATCTCTTTCCCGACTCAGGTTTTTCCGCCGTGCGGAGAACTCCTTATCAAACGAATACCCTTCATTCTGAGTTAGGGATAACCCATGAACGACCCCGTGACATTCGCGATAATCACCATGCGCTCGTTGAACAAAAACCGCGTCGGAAAAACCGGTTGCAAATCGCTCGCGACGAGCCTTCATCTCTTCGGCAACCTCTCGTTTGCCCGCGCGACGAGCACGACGAATCCTTTGGTCAGAAAGCTCCTTCACACGACGAGACCTAGCCGCACACTCATCCCTCACACGAGCAACCTCCCTTGCGACCACTTCTTCGGCTTGGTTAGCCTCGACCTCTGCCCGAAGACGAGCAACTTCTTTCTCGGCCACGTTCGCTCGAAACTCGGCAAGGCGAGCTTCCGCGGAAAGATTGTCCAGGGCTCGGCCCATGATAAGGAAACCCTACCAAAGAAAAGAATTAAGCGATGTCATAAAAACCGCTCGAAAAAGAAAACAATAAACACATGTACCTCCTTAGCTTTCTCGGATTCCCTACTAAACTCCGGGACTTGATCATAGTCGATGTCCGGAAAATGGGAGGTCGATGATCCGCCCGCCTTCGTCCAGATGCCTTCTTCCGTCTGACTATCAAGAAAATCCTTGAGAATATTGTCAGGAGAAGTCGCGCGTTCAGAATCATCATCTTCGACAACCGGATTTTTATCCCTTCGGAAGCTTGATCTGCTGCTCCTCATCGAAGGAATATACGGAATAAACTCTCCAATAAACGGATCCTCTTCATAAACCAGAGAATTCGCACAAAGTCGAGATCGGAAGAGGGCAACCGCTTGGCGGACGCGTTGCGGAGAAAAACTGCACCAACCAACTTCACCACGTTTGAGAGAAGTGGTGATGCTCTGGAGATTCACGGGATGCGGAGGCAAAGGGTTGGTCACTGCGGAAAAACAGAAACGAATAAAAAAATAATAATAATAATAAGAAGAGGATTCATATGAACTCGATTCACGTACCTCTCCTACCCCACGCAGTCGTAAAAACGGAACGCTTCCCTCTTGACCGACGTGCTGTCGATACGAACGTAAAAGAAATTCTTCTTCCAAGAAGTAGAAAGCATTGGGAAGCCCGTAACAATTTTGTCACGAGGGCATAGAGTGATCCTCCACGATGCACCCGTGGGCTTTAACAGACCCTCGAGATGATCGACATTAAGGGTGATTCCCTGCTCGTAAATCAGCGTTAAAAGACCAACGAGTTGCTTTAAACTAAGGGGAGTCAACTGACTGATCGATAGTCGCAGCCTGTGAAGGTAATGCACAATGATTTCCGGGAATCGGAAACCATAAGTGGCATTGTTGCAAGAAAATGTTGTAACATGTGAAAAAACCCTCGGGCGCATTCCTGTCGCCCTCCCCGGCAAGTGGGGAACGAAACTCAACAGCCTCTGGGACTCGGCAAAATTCGCGCATGTGATCAATACTGTTAAGGAGTGTTGAGCTCGGATTTCCGGGAACTTGATCGACTCCGACAAAGCTGGAACCCAAATCCCAGGCCTAGCGGACCTCGACTCGTCCCCCAACGCCCAAAAAGCCTCGTGGTCCGTCGGATCGACGAACGGGGGCGAATACTCTTCTTTCGGAACCAAAGCTGGAGGCTGCGAACTCGTTCCCTCAGAATTATGAAAATTGGAACTAGTCGAGGAACAAGTCTTTCTTCCTGAAAACATGTTTGAAAATTTTCAAAGAAAGTGGAGAGAAAAATTTCTTGAATAAGTTGTAGAAGGTGGAGTAAAGAATTCAAAATTTTACTCCATATACTTATAGGGAAGAATTTTACTATTCACCTTTGGACTTTTAGCCATTAAAGTTCCTCCTAATTCTACCAAACTCGCCAAACGAGTTCAATTCACTCGCAAGAAACTCACGATTCTTACGAGCTGGGGGGCTAACTGTTGGGGTCAAAATTGGTACGACGGAATTAATAGCCAAAACTCCTCGCAGACCGTTTTATAAAACTCGAGAAGCCGTTTTATAAAACTCGAGAAATCGTTTTATAAGACTCGAAGATCGTCTTATAAAACTCGAGAATTGTCTTATAAAACTCGAGAATCGGTTTATAAAACTCGAGAATCGTTTTATAAAACTCGAGAAATCGTTTTATAAGACTCAAAGATCGTCGTATAAAACTCGAGAATTGTCTTATAAAACTCGAGAAATCGTTTTATAAAACTCGAAAATCGTTTTACGAAACCGCAAAAAAACCGAAACAGCCATAAAACGCGAACTAGGAGGTACTCGACTAGTTCGCCTATTGGCGAACTAAGCTGGCCCGGCTTAGTTCGCCAATAGGCGAACTAGGAGGTGCTCGACTAGTTCGCCTATTGGCGAACTAAACTGGCCTGGCTTAGTTCGCCAATGGGCGAACTAGGAAGTGCTCGACTAGTTCGCCTATTGGCTTCCTGGACGTCCCGAGCCTCGATCTCCCGCATTCCCGATTTGAAACTTACGTCTTTCGACACGGTCGCATTCTGAACCATGGCCGAAACATCTCCCGTTCCATCTCGATCCGACCTATCGTTCGAGTTTTACGGTAAAAACCGTAAAACTTCGCTTTCTCGATAAAGAACTCGAGAAAAATTGTATAAAACGGTTGACGAAACACCGAACATTGCCTAAAACATACGATTTATTCGAGATTTCTCGTCGAAATCGTAAAAAACGCGTGTTTAATAAAAACGTCGAGTAAATCGTAAAAAAACGCGTTTTTAATTAAAAAGTCGAGTAAATCGTAAAGCCTTACGATTAGCTCGAGAAATTTATTAAAAACGACGTCAGATCAGGAAACGATCCCGTAAAAAGTCAGAAAACGGATTTATCGCAAAAACGGCCCGGAAGGGCCTAAAGCGCGATAAAAACCCATCTCGCGATCTTAACGGAATCTAACCCGCAAATTTGATAAAGTTTTGACGGTTTACTCGCAGAAGAAGAATAAATGTCAAGCTTGATGATAAAAGGCAAGTTTGAAGAAAAATAGAAGATTTCCGCGGAAGAAAAGGAAGGATCGAGAAAAATGGAAGATTCCCGATTTGCGATGGGGATGGATCTGTGGGTTGTCGCGTGATCTGGAGATGGAGAAGGAGAAGGAGAATGAGGAGATGGTTGGTGTGAATGTAATGGTAGATAGTATTATTGAGAAATACTACTAAAAATATCAAATTAAGATATAAAAATCATGATAGATAGTATTATTGAGAAAGTAAGAATAAAAATTATAAATTTTCACGCTGCATGTACCAAATGATGCTTATGGATAAAAAAACAGAGAACTAAAAATATCAAATTAAGATATAAAAATCATGATAGATAGTATTATTGAGAAAGTAAGAATAAAAATTATAAATTTTCACCCAGAGTAACATATTAACCATTATCTCATACCGAATGACCAAGGCGAGGAGTATATAAATAAGAGGTCTAAGGCAGAAGCAAGACACACGAAATTCAGAGCCTCACTACCAAAACTAGCATTTAGGAATATTTCTGTTTTTCTGTTAGCGAGCTGCGTCTCAATTAGGAGTTTTCGTTCTTAAGTTTTCGGCTACTCTCTTTGTACCAGTTCTACGCGATTCGGAATAAGAACCTCTTTGTTCTCGATTTTCGTTTATCTTTTAATAATTATAAGTTTTCTTGTTATCTTAATCTTCGTTGTGCGGTTCTGCAGATAGCCGGTTCCTCTGGAAACTTAGATTCCTCTGGAAACTTAGGGTTTTCCCGAAGTTTCCTTATTTACGATTATTTGACAGTAGGTGGATTTCGACACCCACAACCTTTCTAAATGATTTATAAATTATAAATGATTTATGAACCCTTATAAATGATTTATAAATCCTTATAAACGATTTATTAACCCTTATAAATAAATTATAACCCTTTATAATTAATTTAATAGATCTTATAAATGATTTGTTAATCTTTGTAAATCATTTATAAACTATTTATAAACATTTATAAATGATTTATAAATTACACTTATATTCTTGATGCATTTGATTTTTTAAATAGTTTTGTAAATCCATATACAAAATTTTATAAACCCTTATAAAACTCTTATATAAGCTCATTTTTTCTCCGATTTTTCTCCGATCATAGCATCTTCTTGACTCTCTTTCGTCGTCATCATCATCATCTTTTTTCTTTTCATGCACATTGCTTCTCATCCTCTGTGTCATCTCCAGTCTCCATTGCTCTCTCTTTTCCACACTCCTTGAAACACTACTTCTCCCTCCTTCCACTGGAAATCCTACAAGCCATATTCAAAGCTGAGACTCGCTGCCAAAAAATGAATAGGATTGTACAACAGTTACAGAAGACAAGACCAACCAGAGAGTTTGGGATTGAACGTTTTGAAGGAATAACTGATGCTCTCCTCTGTTACATAGCATCAAGTAATGGTTTCATCAAAAGGTTCTGTTGCAAAGGCCAAGCAATGATTTTTCTCTGTCTTCAACTCGTTTCCTAGCAGCCTCTTGCCTCAGCGCAGCTTTCTCTTCTGCAGATACTTTCTTCGGTTTCTCATCTATTCTCTTTCTCTTGTTGTTGTTGTTGCCAATCTCAGTAGATGAGGCAGCTCCTTTCACATTTCTTTTCGGGTTTAAAGTAGCCGAGACAACCCTCCCAGGTGGTACATTCTTGTAGATGAAGGATTACTCACAGTCTTCAACTTGATCGAGATCTATATCTTGTACATTCTCCACCGTTACCTAACATAGGCAAAACAAAAACAGCTGACAAAACGCTAAGAAATGCACAGAAAAGCTCAAGTCTTTGAAGCTAAATCTATACGTTAGTCAATGTACAAGAAGTGGCCAACCTTAGATGATTCTTGAGCAAATGCAATTTCCCTCCAAAGTTCTGCTTCTTTTTCTTCACCAACTCCATACAGATCAGTTCCATTGTCATCGTCAGTAGGAACCCTTGATGAATCCTCGTCGTTATAACTTTCAGGACTTGCATCAGATCCTGAGCAACAGCTCTTCTACAACACATATATTCAGAGTTAAGATCACAAAGAGCTAAAACTTTGGAACATCCATATCTGCAATAAAGCTTACATTTTCTGATTCTTGAGACAACACATCATCCAACTTGACAGGTTTTTCCTTCTTCTTTTTTCTAGTTCCTGTCTCTTCCACTGAGACAGAACCATTAAAGAGTTTCCTTTTGAGCTCATTACAGTTGCAGACAAATCTTTTGCAACTGTAGAAGCTAATTGTTTAGAGAGAGAGAGAGAGAGAGAGAGAGAGAGAGAGAGAGAGAGAGAGAGGATAAATTCTCAAAATATTATATTTATAAGGTAAGATTATTTTGGAATACGAAGTTGTCACGGATGACTGCAACGAGGCCTCTAAATCTGTTGGTGCTACAGAGGGTCAAAAAGAGGCTTCTGGTGCAGTTATGGCTCTGAAGAAATCCAAAAGGATAAAGATCATAAAATCTCAGATGAGAAAGCATTAGATCAACAAGATATCAGGAGGGAGGAAGATGACACTACTCATGAAATTCCACGTAATGATCCAAACCAAAAGGAAGATGCTGTAATGGAGGAAAATCCCAACAACTTCGATTATGCTGATTCTGATACTAAAACAAATGGTGTGAAACGAAAGGCTGATGTCTTGAGCGAGGATTCAATAGGTGAAGGTAGGAAGACTGTTTCATTGGCGAAGGTGTCTTTTGCACAGAGGCCATCCTTTAAGATCGGTGCAGGCATAGCCAGAGCTGCTACTCAGATGGCAGGATCTCCTTCAGTTTTGAAGGGTAGTAACCTAGGTGACGAAACTCTTTCTGTTGAGAGGTTTGTATCCCAGCTTCACTGTGCAGCAACAGGCCCTGATAAAGAGAGCGTTGTATCAGAAACTGCTGCTGGCTTTTTCTTAGATTTCCAAAACTCAAAGGCTTCACAGGCGCTAATTCCAGAAAAGGCAAGCAATAAAAGAGGTAAACCATCTAATTATCCTGCAGGAGGAACTGAAGCATTTGAGTTTGAGGAAATGGGTGACATGTACTTGAATGACAGGGTGATCTTCTAGTAACAAAACTTAAAAGAAAGCACGTACATTAGCTACAGACATGGCGTCATCTTCATTGATGGCATTCTTGGTCAGTTCAAGGACCCGACAACCATAAACTCGTGCTGGATCAGGAATAAACGCTGACACCCTATGGGATAGAAGATAAAGGAAGCATTATATTACAGTAAAGGAAACATGAAAGTCCTCCAGTGAATAAAAAGAGTCACACGGACAGTACTAGTGAAACACACAAGAGAATAAGCCAGAAACTCATAACGCACAGACCAAACCATATGAATGGAGAGACATAAAGAAGGAGAGTTTACTTGTTGGGGTCGACGAGTCTAGCTTCAGGATGCGTACGAGCAAATCCACGAACGTAAGGATCTTCAGGGAGAACAATCTTCTTGAGGTTCCCATTAGAGCGAGGAAACGAGGTGATCTGCCATAGAATACAATCAAACATCAACAGTAAGAAACTAAAACCTTAAATCCCAAGTTCAGGTATTGCAAGATCTCAACTTTCTAATGCAATTGAAACCAAAACAGGAAACTCTATAGCAATATTGATCAATAAGAAAGTATCTAACTGGATCAAGACAAATCATTCGTCGAGCAAAAGAGAGAGAGAGAAGAGAGTTACGCTTCCATGGCTTTAAGCCAAACGGACCCTCGAGAAGCGAGTCCACCAACAAGCCTCCTTGTTTTGGAAAGTAAATCTCCTTTCATCCACGACATGTTTGCTTGCTTGCTTGCTCCTAGAGCTTTCGCTTGATCTGGAACTCGAGCCAACCACGACGAGGCCAAGAGGGTTCCAAATAAAGCTCCTCCTCCTCCTCGTAATCCGCAGGCTCTCTTGGCCCATGTTCTCGTGTGACACCGGAAGAGATTGAGAGAAACCATCTTGATCTTCTCCTCCTGACATGACAGACTCGGAGATGATCTTACTAGATCCAGACTGTATGAAATCCACAAGCTCCCTGTCTGCCTCTTGATCTCTTTTTCTGGAACTCTGGATTATCTCGTCGCCGTCATCACACTGCCGTGCCGTAGCCGTCGTCGAACTCTCTCAAGAAAGAGATAAGAAATTATTATCAATTGATGAGAGGGTTATTTTGTCTTTTACCTATTAAAATGATCTAGGTATTTCTAAAAATGTCCTCCTTTTAAATGTATACTAGGTGTTTTGCCCGCACTTGCGGGCTTAATAATTTTACTAATATCTATAAATAAATATATAATCAATTTATGTAAATTATAATAAATTATAATTCATAAACTCAAAATATTTAATAATAAACTAAACAGATTCTTTCTATATATACAATTTTTAATCATCATATAAATAATTTTCTTTACACAACTTATATTTGAAAATACTCATGAACTTAAAACATTTAGTAATAAATTAATATCATTTTTAGACATAACAAAAAAGTATAAAAAATTATCTTTAATAATGTTTTGGATAACACAATATAAATTATCTATACATAATTTTTTTTGCGAATTGATTTTTCATAATTAACTATATATTAACAAATATAATTATTTTTCAACGTTAATAAAGACTTTATAACAAAATATAGAAAAGTTAGATAAAGATAATTATCAAATTCATGAGATTCCTTTTTAATTTAGAATTAATTATATGTTAACAAATATAATTATTTTTCAAGGTTGATAAAGACTTTATCACATAATATAAAAAAATTAAAATTAGGATAATTATCAAATAAATGAAATTCGTTTTTAATTTATAGTTAATTGTATATTAACTAATATAATTATTTTTCAAGGTTAATAAAGACTTTATAACCCAATATAAAATAGTTTTAGATAAAGATAAATCTAAAATCATTGAAATTCGTTTTTTATTTATGTTTAATTATATTAAAAAAATTAATTATTCATTAAGGATATAAACGATATTAACCGCTCTAACTTTCAACGTGAAAGTTACAAATTAATCAGAAAATTCACTTACATTTTATAATTGAAAATATATTTTTAAGATAACAATCTAATACAAAAGAGTTAACATATTTTCTAAAAATATAATATTTATTAACATAAATTCTTTTTTATTTTATAATCTTATATATTAAAACAGAAGTCATGACTTGACTTCATGTGTGATTTTTTTAAAAATGAACTATCACTAGAAAGTCATGTTACATTAACTCTCTAATAATCCTATCATTATTATATCTTATGAAAAATCATATCTATAATAACAAAGATACGCTTAACAATTTGGTTTTGGTAAATTACCCCACACCTTCCAACTTAATCACACAACATATGTCAATAGATATAAGTTTAGGAATCTTCTATTATTTATAAGGAAATATGTCAATAATAGTTAAATGAATCCACAATATATTAACAAAAATTACAAATTCGTAATATAGAATATTTATATACCCTAACAAAATTTACACGCTATATATACTAGATAAATTTATTTCGATGTAAATTTTTAAAATTTTATTGTTATAAAAAAGAAATTGTTTAAAAATTATTTTTTTAATAAAATTCTTTATAATATTAATTTATGAAGCTATAAATTTAGTTTTTAGCAAAAATTTCTTCGAAGTTTATATTATCTTTACAAATTAATGTATACTAATATTCATCAAGCTCTATTTATATTACTTTATCTAAAAATGAAATACTAATCTAACGAACAATAAAATATAGAAGAAGAAGAAACAAACACATATTGGAAAAACATGTATAATAGAGAAAATTTGAAACAATTTATTTGATTTAAACACGTATTATATAATATTATTATGTTTGAAAAACATTTACTATACATATCGTAAATATGTGATTACTATAATATATACCAATTTACAAGTGAAAACAAAATATTTATATAACTAACTATAAACGAAAATAAACACCCGCGCGGTTGCGCGGGTCAAAATCTAGTAAATTATTAAAACATGAAAATAAGAAAAATAACCTAAAATCATGGAGAAGTTGTCAACTAAGCAAATTTACTTCTAAAATAATAATTGAAAAATATATTTTTAAGATAACAATCTAATACATAAGCATTAACATATTTTCTAAAAATATAATATTATTAACATAAATTCGTTTTTATTATATAATAAATTATTAAAACATGAAAATAAGCAAAATAATCTAAAATCATGGAGAAGTTGACAACTAAGCAAATTTACTTCTCAAATAATGTTATAGATAGATATGAATAATGGTACCAAACAAAGTGTAAATGTAAATTTGCCCAATAGTTTATGGGAAAGATGTATGTTCATTATCACTTTCTTTCCAGCGGCTGCGCAAGAGGTTGCGTACACCTGCACCTGTAAATTTTAGAGGCTACCACTTGTTAGATATTAAGAACCTATCTGAGAGCATTGCATCAACAGCTTCGAATGGTTAGACCTGTCTTGAGACCACAAAAAAGGGCTTACGTGAAAAACATGTATCTATACTCCGTGCTTGACTATTTGAGTTTTACTTTATCTGTAAGTGTTGATCAAGATACATCATTCTTGCTTTTCTTTGCTGAATTAATAACCATCTCAATATTTTCCAGATATCCAAAGGAACCAGCCAAATCAGGCTTGCGAAACAGACATGAGTCACATGACTATCAATAAACAAGGTAACACAAGAAGGCTATAAGGCACTCCTGTTGTTGTCTCATTCTTTGGTGTCGTTTTAATTTTAGTGATTTTCTGTTTCTTGACAAACTTCAAGTTGTGATTTGGTTTATTAATGCGAGAGTTTGGCTATAGAAACCAATGTTGAAGCGATGTATAAAGAATTATTTAGTGACTGGATAGGTTGATTATGTCTTCGTGTCCATACAACATCGCACTCAGTTCTACCTAATTTGGCTAAAGCAATTGAGTAATCCGGATTTGGGCAAGCGTTTTACTACACATGATTATAGACCATTTTTCCTTCATAGTCTAGATGGCCTCACGAGCTGTTTTTCCTTCCTGATAATAGACTTATCTTTGTATAAGTAAATATGCTACCGCCTTCTTTTTTTTGGTTGAAATATGCGACCACCTTATTTCATTTTAATCTGTCGTAATAGATCGTCTCTCTGCATTACACATACTTATTTGTCTTCATGGTTGCTTACCAATACATATATGTTTTGAATTATTTAGTGTTATGTTCTTATATCTTTATTTTATCACATATAGTGCACACGGAGAAGGGAGAATTTGATTTCTCCTACAAATAAGTTGACTTAACCTATAAATTAAAATCTTCTAAGAGCATCTCCAAAAATATTATCTATTTGAAGTTTAAAGATATTATGCTCCAAAAACAAAACTTCAAATTTAACTTAAAAAGTATTTATACTTTATACTATGATTCTTATAGTTATCATAACTAATTCAAATTCATAAAAAAAAAGTTATAAATAACTATCACATTTATAAAAATATTACAACAATATTAATTGATAAATTTTTACACTAAAATATAAAATTATAAATAGAAACATATAATTAAATATTAAACTACACACAAAATACCACATTAAGTCTTCTAATATTGTGGTTGTATAGTTCTAGTTTTAATATATTTTAAATTTTATTTTGATGTTTTTATAAAAAAACTATGTAAAATTAAAAATTTTAAAATAATTTTGAATATTTATGAGATAATAATTTTCAGGATTAAAATGATGAACAATAAAAAATTTAAGAATTATAAATATGATGTATAATTTGAAGGACCAAAAATGTAATAAAATATGAAATTTCAAATTTGAAGTTTTGAGTAGTGACCTTTTATATTTGAAATTTCACTACTCAAAACTTCAAATTTAAAGTTTTAGAGTTTCTTTTTAGAGAGTCATAATCTTCATATTTAGGGTTATATAATGTCATTTGAAGATGCTATAACTGCAGAAAACTTCCTTCATAGCAAATTTTAAGCATTGTTACTATTGTGCAAAGACAATTATGTTAATGTCTTAAAGCAAATCTGCTATGCATCTCTAAATTTTTCTTGAGTCTATGATATACTTCTCTAATTTTTTCTCGAAAATAAAATAAATCTACTATAGAGTCATACAACAATGGTATAAATCATTTGTATAATAAATAAAAAAATATAGACATAAAAATAAAAGTTAGTGGGAGATTATTTTAAAGGTATTAAATGTAAACATAATAATTTACATTGTGAAGTTTCATGACAAATTAAACCAATTCTCTCTTAGTTTCACAGAAGCCTTACTAATAATGAACTCGTTCTTGAGATTGTTCCTGTAACAACCCGATCCCTCAACGTCCAACCGAGGTTAAGGAAAGGAAGTTATGGACACATGTCTACTCAATTAAACAACCTACGTGTCTCGTTAATGGTCCCAAGAGTCGGCGGACACAATCTTTCAATGAAATATGATCCACCCGTATCCACATATTTCTACTAATAGTCATGAGCACATGGAAATGGAAAGGGAGAGAATGAGCAACTGGGATTACTTAGTGAAGTGACTCTAGACCAGCTTGCCCGCATGACACCCTACACTACCATATGTGGGAACCATGACTGACTAGCCACTACAATTCAAAATGCAACATTCATTTCATAACATGTCAATTTCCATAAAGTATTCTTAGCAGCCTAGCGATCATACATTGCAAGGACTCATATGTTGCTTCACATGGACTCATTCACGCAATCAACCTATTAATTAGACTCACCAATCATCCTAGACGTATGGAACTATAGCCATTTACGGATGTCCCTACACGTTCCAGCCTAACCTGAAAGGACGTTCCTTACTTGAAATCCCATCACCCTCTAGCTGTTGGGGAAAAATACCCAGGTATCATTTTCCTGAAGCCTCCAGACAGGGTCCAGACCTCCGGTCCCTGATAAAGGAATGC